CCAGCACTCACCCTGTGGATGACACCAGCCGAGTGGATGTACTGTGTGGGGGGGAGAGACAGAGAAGGTGGGTCCCTTGTGCTGCTTCACACCAGGCTTCCCAGCTCAGAAACTGTCCTGCCCACAGGCCTGGCCTCCCCGCACCTCAGGTCTCGCCCTCTCTGCCACCCTCCAGCTCCCCCCCACCTTTAGACCCTTAAGCATCTGATACACCAGGTACTGGATCTTGTCCTCACTGAACTCCATGCCCATGATCTTCTGCAGGTCCGTCTGCATGAAAGGCATCACCAGGTAGCTGCAAGGCATGAGGGCTTCTGTACATCCCGTCTAACCTGGCCCGGGTCTGAGCTCAGAGGGGGGTGGGGAGGGGCTGGGGCAAAACAGGGGCCTTAGAGATGCCCTCCAAGTGTAAGCAGACCCACCCCAACAACCCCCCCGCCCCCTCACGGGCCTCCTGGCTCCAGGCTGGCCGCTGGCCACCCAGCTGGCAGAGCTCAGGGTGAGCGTCTCAGCTGGAGCGCGCTCAGGAAAACCAAAGGGAGCTGGGTTCTCTCTCTTCAAAGGTGCCCTGGCCTCGCCGCCTCCACGCCCCATAGAAGCCAGCGCTGTGCGTTAGAAACATCTCCCAATATTCCCCTCTGCTTCTGCCCAAATCGCCTCTCGCCCAGAGGGTCACGCCTGGCTGCGATGGCTCTAGGAACAACCCACAAGTCTCCCTGCGGAGGAGGGAACAAGAAAACAATTCGCAGGAGGGCAGAAGAGGGAAGGAGGTGGCTGGCCTCTGCGCCCTTTAAGGAATTGCAAAACAGACCGAGGTCAGCAAATAACTGTTACTCACACAGTAACATCAAAGCCCAGAACAAAAAATGATACAGATCGAAAAAGGGAACATAAGGCGGGGGGCCCACAAGATGTGGTGGAGGCCACCTGGTTAACCTGTGACTTTCTGCAGCTCCTACCCGACCACACCCTCCCTCCTGCTGGCCTGCTCCTCGCCCGCCCCTCCCGCCTTTGTTCTTCACTTCTGCGGAGACCCTGCTCTTTCTTCCTGGCCCACAAACTCGCTGAAGTCTCACTCTGCTGGAACTACCTTCCCTTGACCTTGTTTCTTAAGTAACTGCCCCTTCTCTCTCTTTCTCTCCCAGCAAACTTCTAGAAAGAGGGGTCCACGCCTCTTGACCCCTCTGCCTTCGATCCCAGGCCTCCAACAAGCTGCTGTCTGCTCTCGCTGCACCACCAAAGCTGCTCTGATCAAGGTCACTAATATGCACCCCCTCCCCCCGCTCCCTCCCTTCCTATCTGACCTCCTGCAAAGTGACTCGCCCTCAAGATTCTCTGCCCACCTGCCCGCCCTGATCAGGTGCCCTCAGCGCGCCCTCTTGGGCCTCAGTGATGCTACATCATCAACAGCGTCCTGCAGGCTCTGCACTGCCTGGCCTGGGCCTCGGCTCTCACCCCTGGGTGATTATTCCAGCACAGACCCACGCTCCCAGCCCAGATGTATTTGCAGCTTCTGAGTAAACACTTGAATGTGCACAGGCTCTTCCAGAGTAAAGTGTCCCAGACGGAGTTCAGTATCTTTCTCCCACGGTCTGTTCCTCCTCCCCCTCGTATGCCAAGCGGGAAGGTGGCACGCCCCGACCTACGCCACCCTCCCAGCCACTGCATCCCAAGGGGCTCAGGTCTGCTCTGGGCATCCGTCACCTCTACTCTATGTAGATCAAGGTCTGGGTCTTGAACTCTCCCCTCCAGTTCCCACCTCCCAGAGCTGGTCCCTGCCCCTTTCTCGCTGCCACCAGCGTATATCCCCCCAATCCGGTCTCACTTCCCTGCTCAAAACCTCCATGGACTGAAGACGCCTGTGGGTTAAGAAAACAGGACAGATGCACGCGAAAAAGAAAGAAGGAAGGAAGGATTGAAGGAAGGAAGGGAGAGAGGGAGAGAGGGAGAGAGGGAGGAGGAAAGAAAAAGGAAAGAAAGAGTTAGATCACATTCTTACACCATACACAAGAATAACTCAAAATGATTAAAAATTAAATGTAAGACCTGAAGCCATAAAACTCTTAGAAGAAAACATAAGCAGTGATGCTCTGACACTGCTCTTAGTATCTGAAATATATCTCTCAGGCTTATATACTGGCATACGAGGGGGAGGAGGAACAGACCGTGGGAGAAAGATACTGAACTCCGTCTGGGACACTTTACTCTGGAAGAGCCTGTGCACATTCAAGTGTTTACTCAGAAGCTGCAAATACACCTGGGCTACCTGGGAAGGGAAACAAACAAACAAACCAACAAAAATGAGACTACAGCAAACTAAAAAGTTTTGCACAGCAAAGGAAACCAACAAAACTGAAAGAAAGACAGCCTACTGAATAGGAAAAGATATTCGCCAACGATACATGCAATATGGGGTTAACATCTAAAATAGATAAAGAATTCATATAATTTAACACCATAAAAACAAACAATCTAATTAGAAAATGGGCAGAGGACTTGAATAGACACTTCCCCGAAGAGGACATACAAATGGCCAAGAGACATATGAAAAGATGCTCTATGTCACTAACCATTAGAGAGACGCCAATTAAAACTACAATGAGATACGCCTCACACCTGTCAGAATGGCTCCCACCAATAAATCAACAAACAGCACATGTCGGTGAGGATGCGGGGAAATAGGAACCTCATGAACCGGGGGAGGGGGGTACTGCAAACTGGTGCAGCCGCTACGGAAAGCAGTGTGGAGGTGCCTCAAAAAAAGTAAAAATAGAACTACCTTATGACCCAGCAAGTCCACTTCTGGGTTTTTATCAAAAGAAATCCAAAACACAAATAAAGATACATGCACCCCTCTGCTCATTGCAGCACTGTTTACAACACCCAAGACGTGGAAACAGCCTAAGTGCCCATCAACGGAGGACTGGGTGGAGAGGCTGTGGTGCCTGTATATGTGGGATACTACACGCCACAAGAGAGAATGAAACCTTACCATTTGCGATACCATGATGGACTGGAGAGTACTATGCTAAGTGAAATAAGTCAAACAGAGAAAGGCAAGTACCAGATGACTTCACTAAATAACAACAACTGAAAACCAGAAAGACTCACAGATACAGAGAACAGACTGATGGTTGCGAGAGGGGTGAGGGGCTGGGGGGCTGGGGGGGAAAGGTGAAGGGAGTAAAAAGTACAAATTGGTAGTTACAAAATAGTTATGGGGATGTAAAGTACAGTATAGGAAATATAGTCGATAATATTGCAATAACTATGTACGGTGCCATATGGGTACTGGAAATATCCGGGGGGCACTTTGTGAAGTTTATGATTAGCTAACCACTATGCTGTCCACCTGAAATTAATACAAAATCATACTGCATGTAAATTATAACTGCAAAATAAAATTTTTGAAAGATAAAATGTTACCTCCTTAAAAAAAACAACAACACCCACTCCATTCAAAATTATTGCATTACATTCACAACAAAAGCATGCTAACAAAGAGGTCTGCAGAGCATTCGAAATAGGACTGAAAAACACACACAAAACAACCTTCTCAAAGGTTTCTAAAGTTTAGACCAGCCACTGCACTAGCCACGCCACGCGTTTAGCAATGTTTTGGTTCTAACTGTCAGCCCCCGTTAGCCAAGGCAGCCCAGGCTTCCTGATCCTTGCTTCATGCTAGAAGGAGCCTCAAGGGCCAGACCCATAACTGGGCCCCCAGGGAATGCCCAGGGGAGCTGGTGCCAACCCTGTGAGGACTGGCATGGTGTCCTGGTGGTGTTAAAGCTGAGTAACAAGCAAAGCAGCTGGCAGGCAGCTCTGAGCCAAGCGCGCACCCCACAACGCCCCTCCCACCTCTTCCTGC